CATGTTTATGAAGGAGTTTTTTGTTAACAGTAGTTTGGTGGGGGGTCTTAAATGCTCCTTTATTACATTGGTCCCTAAAAAAGACAATCCCCTAGGAATTCAAGACTACAGGCCTATTAGCCTTATAAATTCCACTTACAAAATTCTTTCCAAGGTGCTTGCTAATAGGTTAAAAAAAGTGCTCCTTGTTGTTATAGATGCTGCTCAATCTGCATTCCTAGGGGGTAGGAACATCCTGGATGGTGTACTAATATCTAATGAGGTAGTGGATTGGTGGAAAAAATCAAAAAGAAATGGCTTGATTTTGAAGTTGGATTTCCAAAAAGCATATGACACAGTCAATTGGAACTATCTCCTCCAAATGCTATCAAATTTTGGTTTTAGCGATAAGTGGGTGAAGTGGATTCACACTTGTATCTCCTCAACAAGAATCTCTATGTTGGTTAATGGCTCACCCACCCCTGAACTCTGTCCCCAAAAAGGGCTTAGGCAAGGTGATCCATTATCACCTTTTCTTTTTAATATGGTGGCTGAGGGTTTGAACCTTCTCCTTACAAGAGCAAAAGTGCTGGGCTTGATCAAAGGAGTATTCATTGGGTTTAATGCCATCAACATCTCCCATCTCCAATTCGCGAATGACACAATTATTTTCTGTGAAGCTGAGTGGTCTGAAGTGCTAACTGTCAAGAGAATTCTTAGATGCTTTGAGATCATTTCTGGGCTGAAGATCAATTTTCATAAGAGTGGGGTCTGTGGAGTAGGGTTGTCAGAGGAATGTGTGAAAATTTTTGCCTCAAGGCTGAATTGTACATATCAGAAGCTCCCTTTGAAGTACCTTGGTTTTCCATTAGGGGCAAACCCATCTAGGAGGGTCACATGGAAGCTTGTGGTGGACAATTTCAAGAAGAAATTGTCAGGGTGGAAGAGGAGGCTGCTATCTTTTGCTACCAGAGTAACACTAATCAAATCTATCCTTTCCTTCCTACCTGTATACTACATGTCTCTCTTTAGGCTGCCTAGAGGTGTGGCAAAAGAACTGGACAAGATTCAAGCAGCTTTTTTGTGGGGTGATTCAGATATGAGAAGGAAAGATCACTTAGTAAAATGGAAGGAGTTAACCATGGATAAGAAGCAAGGTGGGCTGGGAATAAGAAACCTAAGTTCATTGAATAACTGCCTTCTTGCTAAGTGGTGGTGGAGGTTTGGGAAGGAAGACAGTTCATTATGGAAGCAGGTCATATGCAACAAGTATCAGCCAGAAGGGGGTAGATGGTTTCCATTCCATATGGAGGCAACAAATATTTCAAGAGTATGGAGTGACATTATATTTGTTGGTGATTCTAATAGCAGCTTGTTCAATTACTTTATTGGAGATGTTGAAATCAAGATTGGTTATGGGGAAAGAATCAGTTTCTGGGTTGATAATTGGATGGGAACCATGTGCTTGAAGTCCCAATTCCCTAGACTTTACTCTTTATCAGAGGTTAGAGGTATCACTTTGAAATTGCAGTGGACTAGGATTAGACAGCACAACAATTGGGATTTTAGCTTTAGCTTTAGGTGGCCCTTATTAGCGTGGGAGGAAGATGAACTACAGAGATTAAGGGTTGTTTTAGGTGAGGGCCCTACATTGAGATTGGAATCAATAGATACGTTATGGTGGAAATCTGACCCTACAGGTGTGTTCACTGTCAAAAGTGCTGCTAAATGGTGTGAATCTTTGAATGGTTCTAATCTGGTAATTCCTGATCTGCTACGGCACAACCCCTCCCCTCCTAAAGCCCAATTCTTCTCTTGGTTGGCTTGGAAAGGGAGGATAAAGTCCTCTAACCACTTACATAGACTTGGTATCCTAAGTGCAGCAGTTAGCTCTGATTGTGTATTCTGCTAGACTAAGATTGAATCTCTTAACCATGTTCTGCTGTTGTGCTCCTTTGCTTGGAAAGTTTGGTCCAATCTAATTAAGTGGTGGGGTTTACTTTGGGTTTTCCCTAGCTCAGTGGTTATGCTAATGCATTGGTGGTTGGGCTGCAAGGTTAGAAAAAAGAAAAAGCAAATTTGAAGAGCAATCCTAATTGCTGGTCTTTGGTCCCTCTGGAAGTATAGGAATGACTATCTTTTCAATGGGCTGCAACCTATCTGTGAAGATCTATGTGTGCTTATTAAAGTTAGGGTGGCCCTTTGGCTGAAAACTCACTCAGTTGGGCAAGGGTACACAGTGGATGAGTTTGTGTTTAATCTCCATCAAGTTAGAAGCTGTGTTTAGTGTTTGTGTTTAATCTTCATTTGTAGAATTGCAGCTGCTCTGCCTCAGGTTCTGTTTCATTTTTATTTGCTGTTCTTTTGTTCTTCTGCTGGCTTTGGTGTTTGGGATTGCTTTACTCTGGTTCTGGGTACATCTTGTTGGTCTGCCTTGCTCAATTGTGGTTTGCTTTGTTTAGCTGTGCTAGTTCCTTTATGTATTTGGTTCAGTATGATTTCACTATTGGTTTTGGCAGGGGAGTTGATTCAGAGTTTACACTGCTACTATTGTGGACTGCTGTGTTTTAAGCTCTATTTGCTGGTCTGCCTTACTCAGGTGTGAAGTTGACAAAGAATCTTCTATTGAAGAGCTCATAGAATCTGCTATTGAAGATGGAGTTGCTGCTGTGGTATGGAAGTTTAGGAATGTTTGCATGTTCAACAAAGCCCATCCTAGATTGGTTCGACTGCTGATATCTGTTATTTTGGGTCTATGGCTACTGCTGATATATGATGGTAAAGGACCTGCTGAGGAATTAACATTGTCTCAGATTTTTGGACCTGAGCATGAAGACGTCCATAACCCTGGATTGAACTTCCTATCTTTGCCTGAAGATCTCAACATGCAAAATTCACGGCTGCTCTGTTGAAAGGTTTGATGCTGGTATATAATGCCCTATTGTGTTTGCTACTGGTGTATGTTGTCTAATGGTATACATTGTTGTTCTGTATGCTACTGCTGCTAGTGTATGATGTCTAAGGTCTGAACTACTCTGCTGAGGTGGATGCTGCCTGCTGAGGTATTTGATGTCCTATTGTTGTATGCTACTGTTTTGTATGCTCTGTGCAAATTTTAATGGTGTATGCTGTCTGATAGTGGATTACTGGTAGACTGATAGCATGGGCTGCTGTTTATGGCTGAATGAACCCACAGGCTTATCTGCTTTGTGCTATGGACTTTTGTGGTTGTCTCTATCTTGTGCTATGGGTTGTGGTGTGGTTGAATTTGCTATGGACTCATAGACTTAGGATTATCATTGGCTCATCAGATGCTTGTAGGAATGGTGTGGATGAATCTGCCCAGTTTTAAGCTCCGAGGAAGCATACTTGGGTGTGGTTGAATCTGTCTGGGTCTGCAGCTCTCTGGATTGCTGTCTTTGGTCTGGGATGCTTGCTGGGCTGTTATGCTCAGGCTGCTCAGTTATGATCTCTGGTCTGGTGTTGCTGAGATGGCTGTGGGTGGGCTGGTTGATTTCCGGCTGCTGCTATACTTTGAGGATATGTGGGTGGCTGTCTGAATTGGTGGATGCTTGTCTGTTGGGTGTATTTCTGCTGGTGTAGGCTGTGTTGTTGTTCTGTTATTGAACTGGTGTATGCTGGTGTGTGCTGGTGTGGAGTAGTTCTTAGGCTACAGAAGGCTACCAATCCTGAGCTAGTTTAGGTTTGGTAAAGTTGATTCTGGTATTGGTTCTGAAGAAGCCAAAGGATTGAGTTGCTGCTAAAGCATTGGTGCTTAGGCTGGTCTGCTGTGTTCAAGTAGTCATGGTGTTCTGTCTAAGCCAGAGGGTATTGAAGTAGTCTTGGTGTTCTGTCTTTTGCTCCTGCAGAGGAGTGTTTTGTTGCTTTATTGTTTTTGTTTTGCCTTGTTCCGCTCTGCATGTTGGTTTCTTACCAACTTGGAGCTTCGAGTGTGTGCTAGTAGATGATTTGGTGTGCATCTAGGTGCCAACCTAGTTGGGATCTAAATGTTTTACTATGATGCTTTTTGCACCCTCCTCTTTATTGTTGTATGTTATCATACTCGTCATGCTTTTCCATCAATAAAGTTTCTTTTTGCCGATCAAAAAAACAATCATAACTTATTATGGTCTGATTCTTTTACTTTGGAAGATATTGGACTAATTAGTACCATCTTAGTTGTCCATGCTTAACAGTTGCTATCCCATTCTTTTGTTGTATATGTGAATAGGTATAATTCTGTTTAGGCTCATCACTTCTCTAATGGTGATTTATACCAAAATGAGTTTTGTCATTTTGTCTTTTAACTTTTTTGAGGTACATACGTATAGATCATAATAAGTGGACTTATTGTTTAATAGGTCTCACTACAGGAAAAATGAATTTTAACGGCGTTTTTTTAACGACGTTTCTTTAAATGTCACTTTTTTTAATTTTTAACGGCGTTTTATAAACATTGCATATTTTTTAACCAAAACAGCACCGTTTTATAACTGAAGGTGTTTAAAAGCGCATCCAAATGCGGTAGGAACACGTGCTTTTTGAAACCTTATTATTTTGAAACCCTTATTTTGTATATGAGCCCTTTATCTCTCTCAACCCTTATACGCACACATCTCTCTCTCTCTCTCTCGGCGACAAAGAAGATGGAGGAGATAGGAAGAAGCTTCGTCTGTCGAAAGATCAATCGACTGTTTTTTAAGAGAGCTTGAAGCTCAACACTCTCAATCCTGTAAGTACACATGACACTGAGTTTTAGTTTGAAGCTCAGCTATGGAGGTCAGGTCAGGGGTAGTTTGGTTATTTTACTGAGATCTCTGTGATTTCTCTCTCTCTTTCTCTCAACCCTTACACGCACATATTTTTCCATCGAAGCTCCTTCTGCACCGGCGATTTCGAAGATTCAGATCGATTTCGAGATTCGAAATGATTTTGAAGCTCCATTGTCACCACCGTCTGCACCGGCGAGGTAGCGAGCTCCACCGTCTCTTTCTCTCTCTCTCTGTCTCTTTGTCTCTCTCTCTCTCTCTTGATCTATGAAATCAATGTTTTAAGGCATTCTTACTTGATCCTCATTTGCAGAGATTCAGAGATGCAGTGATTCAGAGATTCAGTGATTTCAGAGCGATTTCCATTTCGAAGCTCCATCGCCACCACCATCTGCACCGGCGATTTTGATTTCACTAACGTGAGCTCTACCGCCTCTCTCTCTCTCTCTCTCTCTCTCTCTTTCTCTCTCTCTCAGTTTCCTCTCAAATTACTTCAAATTTTTTGTGGCTTCTCTTATAATGATCTGAATCTTGTTTTTATTTTTTCATAGTCAAGTTTAAGCTCCTTTCCCTTCCCCTGTCATGTTTAGTTTTTAGTGTTTTATGGTGCAATAGAATCTTGTTTAGAGGTTACACTGATTAGATAGTGGAGGATGCAAATGCTGTTATATTGACTTTTGGTTCTCTCTCTCTCTCTCTCTCTCTCTCTCTCTCTCTCTCTCTGTTTCCTCTCAAATTACTTCAATTTTTCTGTGGCTTCTCTTATAATGATCTGAATCTTGTTTTTATTTTTTTATAGTCAAGTTTAAGCTCCTTCCCCTTCCCCTGTCATGTTTAGTTTTTAAGTGTCTTGTGGTGCAATAGAATCTTGTTTAGAGGCTACACTGATCAGATGGTGGAGGATGCAAATGCTGTTATATCAACTTTTGGTTCTTATCGACTTGGTGTAAGCATATTTATGTTAGCGTTTGTCTCTTTGGGGTGTGAGTTTTTTTATTTATTTTTTTTAAAAAAATAATTTTCTGGTTATCTGAGATTGCTATATAGACTGAGTAGAGGTCACATAAACTGCGTTGCAAGGTTAAGGTTGAGAATTTTCAATTCAGTGCATATGCAGGATTTAGATGTTAGAGTTTAGTATTATAGATTTTTAACATTTTATTAGATAAGATTGGAGGATCCTCTACTGGAGTGTTTGCTTCCAAGGTAATTTCCTATTTATTTTTGTGTGCTGTATTGTTACGATTTTCTAAAATTCTAGGTCCTGTGTGTTTTCCTTTCCATAGATCACTCAAGCAAAGGATGGGAAACCAGTCACTATTGAGCTTATTGATGCCAAGACAAAAGAACTGAAAGATACCTCGGAGATAATTTTTAGCTCTATGATATTGGTAGCAGATTTCTTGTTCTATTAACAGAGCGGCGAAATTAAAAGGTCCTTTCCTTTGTGGATGTAATCAAGTAGTGGAAATTGAGGTTTTTGTTGTATTTTTGCTCCCATGTAACAATGGTTCTCTCCTTTATGGAGTAAGCTTGAAAACCCAATTTGAGACAACAACTGACTTTTCTACCTCACTTTCTGTCCATGCTTTTTTATTTATCTAGTTTGTTGTACCGCACCCTTTACCACAAAATTCAGTTGTTTTGCTACAGGTAGATGCGGCATTAATTGCAACTAGAAGGGGTCCATTTACAAAAGGTCTTGGACTGGAGAATGTATGTCGTGTTAATTGATAATATGCATGAGACAATGTTGAAGTGTTGTATTGGTTTTTTTGTAGATCAATGTAGTGACACAACGGCGTTTTGTTCTAGTAGATGAGCGTGTGCAAGTTATTGACGCAAATGGCAACCTGGTTTGTTATCTATACATTCCGTCATGGACGAAATTTTCTGTATGGTTTTGCAACTAGTTCTTGAAACAATACTTTTACCATTAGGTTCCTCAATTGTATTGTATTGATGATGCAAATGAGAAAATGATTCTTGTTTATGCTGCTAGTGCACAAGGGATTTTTGGTATGTGGTTATTACCTTGCTATTTGCTACTTCAGGCTATATGCTTACATTTTACACCTATTGCATATTTAGCGTTGCTCTCTTCATATAGTTGTTGAACAAGTCAATGAAAAAGATCATGTGCTCAACCATTTGAGCATTGCAACAGCTTGTTTCACTCACCTAGAAATTAGTAATGGTTGGACTCACAGAGGTGAATATCAAATTTTCCAATTCCCATACCAAACCCACAAATAGAATAAAATAAATAAAAAGGGATGTGTGCATTTTTATTGTCTCTTTTGTTCTTATTGGGTAGTGAAATAAAAAAGCGTACCCACCATATTCTTGTAATTTACCTATAGTTGACTAACATCTAAAATTTTGCAGCCTCAAGCGAAGGAGAGAGCTGAAATAGAGGGGTTTGAGATAAGTGTTGCCAAGACAAGTTTTAAGGCTAACACAAAGGCTCTAGCAGAAAATGAAGGGGAGGGACTGGCTAAGGTTATATTTCTTAACCTTCTTGTTCTCTATAATGCCAACCTTGTAATCCGGGGAGACTAACAGATTCTCTTCTCCATATGTTATTGATTAATTTATTTTGAAAAGTGACTCGACAATTTTCATGTTTCTGCATAACTGCTTTGTATTTGTTTTATTCTTTCTCATTGTCACATTCATTTTTCTGTTCTTATTAACAAGTTCTTGTGATGATCTAAACCATGTGGTCAAACTTATACCTTGCTATTTTATTATTCATCCTTCACTCGTTATAAATAAAATTATGTAACTATTCTTCTATTTCAATTTCTACCTTAAAAATTTAATTATACTCTTGCACTTAGATGCTTCTCATTATTTTACTTTTATCCGAATTATGTTGATTTATTCTTCCTTGGCAGTTAATATACAGACCTGACAACGGGGAGATACTTGGCGTTCATATATTTGGGTTGCATGCTGCAGACCTTATCCATGAAGCATCCAATGGCATAGCATTGGGGACACGTATCTAGGTAGTTTTGCTATGATAAAACCCTAAATTTTAGCTACATCAATTGCTTACTTAAATATGTCAGTCTTCATCATGGTTCACTCTACAGCTATCCCCAAAACATTGGACTTAGTTCTGAATCATTTTTATAACCCCGCCTAATAACTTGCAAATGGATCATCTAGTTCAAAATATGCTACCAATCTAATAGTTTCTTGCTTATTCAACGAGTGTGACTTATCTTACATGGACTTGGGTATGAATATTGGTTGTCGATGTGTGTTCAAGCATCAGACGATCATAAATCTAAATTTTATGAAAGTACAGTTTGTCCTTTCATGGTTTTGTTTACTGGTTGCTTGAAGACAAATGAGCTTAGGTTGTTGTCCACTTGTTTTTTGTTGGTAAATATGCAATATATTGTTTGAGAAGGAACTAAAACGACAGAGTTACATATAAGGACAGAGTAACGAATCATCACAATTAATTAGGTGGTACTAAACATATATTGTTGAGAAGAAACACATTGAAAACATAATGAGAAACAAGATCTTGAAAACTATATATGTTTCTCATTATGTTTTCAATGTGTTTCTGAATTTGAAGGCAATCACCTAATTAACTGTGATGATTCAAATTTGTTCATTTAAGCTTTAGCTTTCTTTTTATTCCCACTTCTTTTTTCCTACTTTTATTAGGTGTTATGTCTCTATTGGAGGTTATAATAGTGAAGTGATGATATTGTTTTAAGTTGTGCGTAATGTTGGTTATCTCACCAAACAAATCAATGTTCAGTGTCCACAGCATTAAGGGAACAATATGGTGAAGGGTCATGCTGTGCATTTATTTTATATATAGGATCTGAATTGCCTCTAGTTTAGATCTGAATTGGAGGATATTATTTAGGCTCGTGAAATTTATTATGGGTTCTATTTTGATAATTCGAACGTTTATTTTGTAGGATTCTTCATTTATATATTCCATAAAAAAAATTAAATCGATTCAATAAACGTAATTTGCTCAATTTATCTTATTTTTCACAAAACAAAATAAAAAATGGATGGCTTATTTTTAAAAATACACGTACCGTCCAAATTGGTAGCACCTGCCCTAATTGCTGTCCTCTTCAAAGAACTCCGGTTAACACTTCATTCTGTTCTCAAGGAGCTGATTAGGAAGCCACATGTAAATTTTGTTTTCCTGCTTAGTATCACTCATGTCATGAATAGCCATATTCCTAGCTGATGGAAATTACAATGAATATTTTTTTCTTTTATGTAAATTCACTTTCATTTGCTGTGCATAAATAATGATTAGATGGTTATGTGGAGCATCATGATGGCATAAAGCAATAATTTATATAAAAAGAGACCATAACCATAAGATTCTTTAGGCACATGTGATGTAAGTT